AAAACTCTCTCATTGTTATGCAATCCCTCCCCCCAAGTTCATTCCACTATGAAGCTTTCACTCTGGACTTCTGTAATGACAAGAATACCTATTCATATATCCCTTTTAAACAGATCTCTCCCTCATCTGTTTCAGTGAAATATACATTATTCCTCCCCTCCTCTTCTGTCTTTTCTGTCCTCTTCTGGTTGTAGATTTCCTTTGTTTTAATATCTTTACATTCTAATGCAATTTTCAGAGTCTCTTCTCACATCCATTCTGTTCTTTTCTTTCCTGTTTTTATTATGAACTTTTGCTTTCTTCATGAATAATGGCTCTGATTTTTACCTGTTGTTATATGCCATCAAGTCACCTACAACTCACAGACCCTACATTATCCTAAGCCAATCTCATCATCTCCTACAAAACTAATGCTATTCGTGCAGTTACTGAGTCAATCCATCTCATTCTGAATCTTCCTATCCTGCGCTGTCCCTCCACCCTTCCAAGCATGATGGGGCCGGTCCTTCCTGGTTAGGTGCCCAAACGATGCAAGATGGAGCTGCAAAATGCTTGCCTCCAGGAAACAGCCTGGCTTCACCCTTTCCAGGTCAGACTTGTTTTTCTGGTAGTCTACACTACATTCAACACTCTTCTCCAGAACCACATCTCAAAGGCATCAATCCTTCTTTTATCATCCTTAGTTATTGTCCAGCTCTCAGATGCATAACAAATAGTTGTGAAAACTACAGCCTAGATGAGATGCACCGGTCTCCAGACTGATATTATTGCTCTTCAGTAGGCTTTTTACCTATATTAGTATTATATTAAATGTGTGCTCTATTGCATGTATGTGTACGTCAAACATATTTTGAAGTTAAAGTTATAAATAGTATTATTTATGGAAATTAAAACATAAGTGTATTTAAATTATATACAGAGACAGTGAGATTGGCACAGGAGAGAGCAGGCTTTAGGGCTGTTGTACATAGGGTCGCTATGAGTCGCAAGTAACTCGACAGCACATAACAAAATCAATAGAGATAGAGAGCTCTAGTAGATTAGTGGGAAGAAATTGTGCTGCCAATGCAAAGGTATGCAATTCAATTCTATCAGCTACTCTGAGGGAGAAAGATGGGTGCCTCCGAAAACTTGCTAGAGGATCAGCTACGGGATGGCTCTGACTTGACTGGATACAGCAACAGGAAGGTAGTGAGTATCATAAAAGGGATGGAATTGATGATAGAGAAAGTTGTGGAAGATGGAGACATATCTGGCCTCCTTGGAATCAGCTTTGGGCTGTCAAAGAGAATTTCTTACCCTGGTGAAGTTAGTTGCCTCTTCATTTTACTCGTCACATGGTTTTCACACCTATTTTCCATATTTACACACACTGTTTTCCAGGCTTCTGCTGTCATAGAGTCCTGCATATGAGTATGGGAAGCCAAATTTCATACTAAATATTTGTAATAAACCAAATGCTATTTCAGGATGTGGAGAAGTCATGGTACAAGCTGGAACTCGCTCTGAGGCACCAAGGCAATACTTCAATGTTTACAGGATTCATTTCTTTTTTCATTAATTTTAATGAAAGTTGCAGAGACTTAGGGTTTCCAGTCATTCATTGTTGCACTTTTCTCCCTGCCCCTCTCCCCTTTCATTGTTATGTAATGCCTCCCTCCAAGTCCACTCCACTATGCAGCATTCACTCTGGACTCCTGTAATGACAAGAATACCCATTCATATATCCCTTTTAAACAGTTCTCTCACTCATCTGTTTCAATGCAATACACATCATTCTTCCCCTCCTTTTCTGTCTTCCCTTAACCCTGATGTCAGTCCCATTTTACAACAGTGGCCCTATGTAATATTTGTCCTTTTGTGACTGAAATATTGCACTCAGCTAGCCTCTTCCTCCTGAGTCAAGCAGAAGGTTTTCAACAGAAAGAACTTAGCTTCATTTGCATTGAATTCTCTTTGTGATTTTCTCCCTGGCAGTTTTCAACAAAGATGCAGGGAAGCTGGAAATCGGTGATTCAGTTGTTTGAGAACTGTTCACCTCCTGCTTTACCTCTGTTTTCTCCTACATTCTTGGTGTTCTGTCTTGTTATTAATACACATAAAAATACTTTACCCTCGGTCTGTAACATATGAGGTTTTCAGCCAATATAACCTTAGTGACATAAAGTTAGTCCTCCCAGCAGATCAGGTAGGACTTTATATGTAGTAGGACCTTAAGTATTGCTTGTTCACTTACTGGCTCATTGCATAGATAATTCTCTTTATAAGATATCAAGCACAGAAATTCAACAATTAGATACATGATACTATAATGTTGTACATTAGTCTGTTCCAGGTTGGATATTTAAAATGGCCTAGGGACAATAAGATACTATGTTTCTGCTAGTTAAAGAATTCTGACTACTTCAAGAGCTACACTACCCAGGGGCACATGAAAGTCACTTGTGTTAATCTGGACTGTTGTGATCTAATTATCTACATGCTCCAATCATCAAATCTCTTTAATTCCAACACAACTCTTAATACTTGACTCAAACTCCTACTCAGATGATGCTTAGATATATTTCCCAATTTTTTCCCACTCGTGTGGTTTATATACACTTCTGTCCAAAAGAGGTCATTCTGGCTGGAACACAGTCCCCAAACAAAAGGTATTATGTAAGGCATGGAAAATAAATGCTTTGGTCAATCTTCATGAGATAAATGGCCCCTGGTATCTTGGACCCTAGTTTTCTAATGTGAGCAAGACTGGGACACAAACAGCTCACCAGGAAATCAGAATTAAACCAACATCTTCTTATTGGAGATACACAGTTCCATTTGGCTGCTATAGAGAGTTCATGTTGAGGCAACTGAAGAATTGAGTTCACAAAGCCTTGCCTAATGCAATCTATGATTAGGGCTTCCTCTTATTCACTCTTATCTCTGTCTGACCTCAGCCATGCTCCCCATACTCTCATTGAAGAAACCGGTATAAAGGTTCAGGAGGCCCCACACAGTGTCTAGTCTACAATGGCCTCATCTGGAAAGCTCAACTGTTTAAGTTCTTCTTTCTGTGCTTCATGGACTGGCAACTTTAGTAGAGTAAGCTTCTGAAAAAAGTGAAGATTCCTAAATTAATTTCTAATACTGTGTTTTTGTAAATCAAACATTATACTGTAGATAAAACTGGCCTTATTACTCTGTTATCAGTTAGACTATGGGCAGTTTTCCCCTCTCAAAAATGGATTTTCTTTGTATCATCTACTCTCATTCCCACCCAATTGTCCATGTGACCAACTAGCCAGAATTAAAAGTATAATACATGAGAGTAAAGTTTTTTCTATGTTTGGTTAAAATCCAGGTCCTTGCCACCCTTGGGAATCCAGTAGTTTGCTTATCATCATCTAGTCCAATCTCACAAAAAGAACTTGTAACAGTAGCACGGCGAAGGCACTAACTTCTAATTTTACCAAAGGAGTAGGACAATCAAGATCAACAACCCAAGACTGAATCCCATGAGGTGGAGGATAAACACACTTTGACCTTACAATATTTACCACTTCTGACACCAGCATTCCAATGGCCTTCTCTACTTCTCTGCTGGGTTTGATAATTTGTAACTTAACAGGACTGCTAGGAAAATAAACAGATTCATCCTGGGTGGCTCCTTGGAGGCAAGGATTCTGAGGCTCCATCTAACCTAGTCTGGACGTGTGGTAAGGAGAGACCAGTCCTTGGAGAAGGATATCATGCTTGGGAGGGTGGAGGGACAGCGCAGGAGAGGAAGGCCCTCTATGAGGTGGATTGATTCCGTGACTGGGATAATGGGGATGGGAGTGTCAGAGACAGTGCGATTGGCACAGGACAGAGCAGTGTATAGGGCTCAACAGCACATAACAACAACAACAACGACAGTAACTCACAGACTGTACTCACAATTTATTACATTTATTTAGAAGTAACAAGTTACAACTCGGGTTAAGGAATATTCAAGATACAATTTTACAGTCAGAACAGCCACTTCTCACTCAGACCTACAGGTCAGGCTACAACTGGCCTCTGCCCTGCTTGAACAAGTGTTACAAAGCTCTATTGCTGTTGTTGTCAGATGCCATCAAGTGACCCTATGAACAGCAGACCTGAACTCTCCCCTTCCCTGTGCCAAGTCCATGTTGATAAGTACCAAGATGCACTTCACTCAGTTAATAAGCTTTGGCCCAAAGGTGCTCAGCTTTCTTGCTTTGTGGGCCAGGAAACTCATATCACCATCTGCTGATCTCTTGGTTCTGCTGCTTCTGTTTCCTGAATGAAACTTCTCACCAACTTGCAGTCTCCAGAATTACAAACCTTTCCTGATATATTTCCTGGATAGAGAAGGTTCTTAGCACAAAAGGAGAAGGTTTTCCTGGTCCAAAGAATAAACTTCATTCTTAGTTCTTCTTTCTTGGTAGTAGTGAGCTCAAAACTGATCCATTCTCTTACTAGAGTTCCAAATACCTCATTTACATAATCCTTCCAGTCGTTTAGTAGAATTTACTAAGTCATCACTATCATTCTTTCTTAGTTTGGAAAATAGGCCTGTACAGGGAAAAGGTGTAGAGATATTGTCATCTCAAGAAGTAAGATGACAAGCAATAGATTGGAAATTCAGAAAAAGGGACTATGGATGCTAACAATAATAATGCGTTTAGCACATAATAATAATAATAATACATTTATTTCACTTTATAGATTGTCAATACTTGTACTGTAGGCCTTTTGTGAACTAGTCAAGCATCCTACCGCCTCTTGCATCTATTTGTAAATCGAGAGATACTATTTAACAATCTTTCTCTTACAATGAATGTTAAATATCTTTTACAAAAACAAAACAGAGACCATAAACAAACATCCATATCCTCTCCAGATTAAAAATTGGTCTGTATTGACTCATGTGGCACCATTTGATATACCAATTTCCACATAAATAGCTGGTATGGAAGACAGATGAGGGTCAAGTGCAGGAATTAGAAATAAACTTGAAAGTTCTCCAGCTCCTTTTGACTCAGTCGAGTAGGGTTCTGAGCTCTGGGTTGTCGCTTCCCAACCTATAGAAAGAAGAGAAACTTCATATCCTTCCATTAGGAGATCTTCATAACTTTATGAAGTATTCATTATTTTCTCTATTTTGCAGATTAAGAAAGTAAAGCTTTAAAAAAAATGAAACAAATTACTCAAGGTAAAAGAGGATCTTGAATATAGTTCTTGTGGCCTCAGTTCCACAATTCTTTTAATGATATCATTCATCTTTATGACTCCATAGGTCTGCTTTGGCCCACATGGGGTCTTCATTAACCCTGGACTATTAAATGGAATTTCATTTTGGGCTACATTTGAAGCACCAGGAATCACAGCAGGCATTACTGATCTAGAATTTTTTTCAAGGAGCTGTGCCATTTGTACTAAGCCACTCACTGCTCCCTTGTGGCTGGTGGCAATACCAATGTTGGTCCACAGGCAACAGCTCAGGTGTAGTCTTGAAACTATTGTAGAGTCTTGTCTGTGTCTTCATTACTTCTTCAAAGATAAACGGAAAAGAAAATGTTATCTATCTCATAGAACTGTGTGAGGACTGTTGTTTTTGTTTTTGTGCCGTCACTTGTGACTCATTGAGGACTAAGGAAGAGAATTCATTCAAAGCTTCTGGAAGGCTGCCTGTGCATAATAAGTGTACAGTAAACTTAAGGTCTTTCATTCTCACTCTCTAAATGGTCTGATGAGAATCCATCAGCCACTATACTCAGTGATTGCCTCCGAATAGCGTCCACACCAGTAGTAGCTTGAGGTCATCCATGTCCTGGAATGGTTCACAAGGAACTTACAAACTTTAAAAAAGAATTTTTACTTATTTTCCTGATGTCCCTATTTGCCCTTTTGGAATAAAAAGGTGTGCAAGTCACAACCCATAGCATGGGATGAAACTGAGGACAACCCTTATTCAACCTTCTCAATAAGAGTAAAAAATCTAACACATATATGACCTTGGATTAAACACTCATCCAATTTGGGCCTCAGTTTCTTTATCTCTAAAATGCAATTTTGAAGTAGAAGACCCTTTTGTTCAACATTGAGAGTCTGAAGATAACCTTTACATAAAATAAAGCTGGACGTCAGGACTATCAAGACTCAATCCATTCAGAAGGAATTCTAGAATCTTACCTCTTCATAGATGGTTTTACTGAAGGATGGACTTTGATTCTTCTTGGGCCCAGGCTGGAAAGTCATAAGATAGAGAGTGTTGAAACTTTAGAACAAAACATGTGAGATGTCCAAAGGAGACACATAGCCCATAAAGTCCCTGGAGAACTACTGTGCAGAACTGAATAGAAGAATCTCTTACCACAGAAGTTAACAATAATGTTTATGGTCTCCAGGGAAGACCCAATACATATTTTTTAAATTAAATTCCTGATCTAAAGTTGAAAACTTAGGAAATTTATAAACTAAAGTTGGAAACTAAATTCTTCACCCTTAAAATCCACAGACAGAGCATGTATACATGCAGAAGTGCTCACCCACTCACAAATATATACACAATTCAAACACTTTGACACAAACACAAATCATAACCCTAATACCTCCTTTGAATATATAATTCAGAGGCACTACAGATTATATAAGGAGCCCTAGTTATTCAGTGGTTATTGTACTTGACCATAACCAGAATGTTGATGGTTCAAATGCACTGGTCAACCCCTATGAGAAAATGTGACAGTGTGCTTCCAAAATGATTCTACAGTCTTTCTTTGCCTTGTAAACTGCCATTAGTCAGGATCAACTCAACAGTAGTGAGTTTGGTTTGGTTTTTGTATAGACAGCAGGAGGTATCTGGGAGGCACTGCTTGTACTCAACTACTAGCCTACAGACTGGTGGTTTGAATCCATCAGTGGTTCCATGAAAGAAAGGTCTGACATTTCTGCTTCCAAAAAGTCAGAGAGGGGAAATTCTATGGAGCAGTTATTTCTACTCTAACTTATGAGCTCACCATAAGTTAGAATTTACTCAACAGCAACAGGTTTGAGATTTCCAGTTTAAATGTATTAGGTTTTTATTTGCTAATAAGTATTATGCAAAGGTTTCATACCATAATGCCAAAACACGAATAGATGTCAATTAACAGCTATATGATATATATTGAAACACTCAGTTTAAGTATACTTATTGTGATCTCTAAATTGGTTTATGAACTTACTGCAAAGAGGTGAATGGAAAATTTAGAAATTGATTTTGTGTTCCTCCTCCCATTTAATACACGCAAGATTTTTAACCTGCATATACACATTTTTACAGTTTTATATATACCCAACTCCTTGTATCACCACATTCAGACTTCATATTGTGGCTCTAGATTTATGAAACCATTTTTCTCTTCATCTTTTCACTCATGCATCTTTTGACAGTGTCAAAAGGCAAAGAGGAAAAGAATGATCATGAAAACCCAGTTTACCCAACTCTGTGATTCCAGGTATAATAAGACAAAGCCAAGAACTCAACTTGGAGAAGGATTCAAGGTGATCATAAACTGCCTTAGTCTGAATAATACCATCAAGTGCTTGGCCAGAATCTTTTTCTGGTTTCCTGAAAATCAATATTGTGTAATCCCAATCTGGAGCTAACCTGCTAATGTCTTATAGTTGCTCTATAGCTAAAGCACCTCCTCTCTCTCTGATTTTCCTTAGCCTCCAAAGAAACTCTTCAAAACTCCTTTAATACATTCTTATATGATTTTCAGAGCTCTTTGATTTCTATTTTCCCCCTCCAGACAGAAATAGAAAAGCATTTGTCAATGATCTATTAACATTTAACTGTCACCAAATGTAAGTTCTGACACATACAGTGAAGGACATCTCCTTGGGACATGTACACATACATGCCTATACATGTACACGAACATGCCTATACACACATGCACATATACATATAAATATATATATATACCTGTGTCAGCGGCATCCCCAGAGGAAAATACTCACCTTCAGGAAAGGTTGTATTACTGAATAGATTGTATGTGAAGTTTCATGGGATGTGGAGGCATAACCCTAATAAGAAGAGAAATAAAATTATTTGAGAAGTGTAACTTCAATACAATCTTAGACAAATCATCTTTTCCTTCTGTAATAGTTAAGGTTGTATATCAACTTGGTTTCCTGTGAATTTCTGGTTTAGCAATTGTGATAAAGTCATTTTCTTGTCTTTCTAATTGGTTTCTACTCACATATGTTTTTGCTTTATAATAAAAACTACAATTGTATGATGCACTTACAAAGTCTTGTTGAATCCTCACTGTACCCTCTCTTTCCCTCTTCTGACCCATCCAATCTCCCTTTTCCACCCCTCTCATGTGTCAACCCTCAACATTT